GAAATAAATTAGACAGCAGAAACTTGGAAAAAAGCTTGAAATCAAAATCCTGGATGGGAATACCACCCCCCCACACAGGCATTGGCTCTGTATCTGAACTCTCCATCTTGTGCCCAACTCTAATCATTACCAGTTTCTTTTTAAAAGCCTGTGCCTGAAAGAACTGATGTGTTATGAGACAGCCGTGACCTAAGTAAACTCCAAACAAATCATTCATCACTGCAAAACTCCAGAACAAGCTGGTACTTTCTCAGAGAACAGTGTTCTTCTAAACACACATTATGCATAAAGAGGAAATAGAAAGCACATACTGTAGGTTTTCATCAGTTGTACACAAACAAAGCCTTTGATAATTCTCTGAATAGGCTTGAGATCATTATGCCTGGGGCCAAGAGGCTCTCAGTAGTTTAAGATCTCATTTTCCAAACTTTTGGTCAAAAGGCTCTTTTTAAGTGCAGGGGAAAAAGGAACACTTTTTCCTTTAATATCATTATGTTCACAATACCCCTACTCAAATCCTTATATGCACTATCTTTTTCCTTACCAAATTCAAACTTCATAACCTCAAGGTCTGGAGCAGGAGGTGCTCACCCACATCAACAGCCACGTCTTCTGTTACCCATCCTTCCCTTTCATGGCCCACATTGTGCCTGGAACAGTTGGCCTTTTCCAGTTCTCTGGTTCTTTCTTATCTTCCTGTCATTCAAATCTACCAAACACGCTGTGCTAAATTTTTTTTTGTTTGCCTTTTTAAATAATTTATTTAAAGACATGAAAAGATTCTTATGCAGATCCAGGAAGGTAACTAGAGCATCGAGGAAATACCCACTGTTTTATGTTCTGCAGCTCACACCACAATGCAGTTAATGCCATGCTTTTGGTTTAGAGGCACACCAACATGTGAGAACCATGCACTTAATTTAGGCTGAAAAGGGTGCCCATTCTAAAAAGGAACAACTACTTCTAAATAATGGAGCACTTTTACGCCAGAAAAAGTGTTTTAGTGTAACCAGCTTTATCAAGTCACTATTTTCAACTCCTTTTGCTTTGAAAGCAAACCCTAAATCAGTCTGAACTACTAAGGACTCAAATCTATCTTAATCTATCTTATTCTTTAATGTGGTGGTTTTGTTTTAGCTGCTTTAGCAGCTTTGGATAATAAAGTAATAAAAATGTTATGCATTCAGTTTATTATAACATTCTGTATAAAAGTTATGAGAAGCAAACATTTCATCAAGGTATTTGGACTCTTGGCTCCTACATTAGTACCCCAGGCCCAAAAGTTTTTCGTTCTTTAGAAGTGTTACGTAATAACCAGTAAGCAACAGAAATTTACTTAAGACTGTGGTATCCTGTAATTTGCATTAGCAGCTGCACAAATCATTACAGCCCTTCTCAGGTTAAAACCTCACCAATTTAAATGAGTTTTCTCTGAGCAGGGAAGGATTGAAATCCCTTTGAGTGATAGGGAGATCAAGAAGCCTTTACAAGTGTTAAAACACAGTCTGATCCCCAGGGTATTCAAATGCTACCTGCTGATGACTGAAAGAGCATGATTCTCAGACTGTGGATCAAATTCTATTGAATTTGGCTAGTATTTTCCTACATGTATTCAACAGAAAGGGGTCACTTTTACCCTGACCAGGTAACCGTTTAAGCATTCCAGTGTTTGTAGGAGGGTTTTAACAGGCCATGCTTTTTGTTTAAGATCTATCAACTCCCTTTCCCTGCCTCTGATTCCCTGTTTTGTAAGAGCACCTCTTACCAGAAAAATTTGTTTCAGCCCCTTACAGAAAACAGTGTCAGCTGTTCATTTGTGAGCCAGGCCTAGGGGACATCACAGGTTTTTGGAACCAGATCTTTGTTTCTGTCTAGTCAAGGGGTGGCTATAACATGGAATCACATAAAACAGGGCCAGTGGGGACTGATGCAGTCATCTACACCATCTCCTAATCTCCAGGTGGGACCAGTTTTGCCTAAACAATTCTTAGCAGCTATTTCTCTGACTTATTCTTAGGAGGCTTCATTGATGAGTTCCCTTAATGCCTCCATGAAATTATTAGAAAGGTTCTGGTACATCTGACCTGCATCTCCAGTTAAAGACATTATTACTACTGCTATTTTTCAGGCTGTAAATATATAATAAATTACTAAATCTAGTAGAATATAAATTCACATTTGTTTTACTTACTTATTCCTGATAGCAATTACTCTTTCTGCAAAAGTAGTTGAATAGTGGCATGTAATTTAAGACTTGCCCTACACTACTGCAGCAGCTGAGCTGTACAATATCACAACAGTCATTTCATTTTTCTATGTTATTTTTTTCCACCAGAATTGAAACAAAAGTTGCCATTCATTCCCCAGAACGAGGTTCTAATTTTAGGCAGTCTGGAGGGGAAGATCCTAGGAAGGGAGCACCATCCTTGAACTTACAACAGTAGGAATACTTTTTGGTGCCTAATATTGCCATGAGTCAATTCTGAGCCACAGAATGTCGCTTCCAAACTAATGTTTTCTCTTTCTGGTGATACTTCAAGGAAGACAATACAGTCAGTTTTCAAGGTACTCAACCATTTCTGTCAAGTTATCTAGACTGTCTAAGAAAAGCTAATTTACAGTGGGAGGTGTCTACAACAGGCGCCATTAAGTCTAGAGCCATGAGACTGACTTCTCCCTGGACATCAATTTAACAAGATTATGATGTAGAAGGGTACTGCACTTCTGTGTGAAGTGCAAGGCTTTTTATCCCTAGAAATTATTTTCTATTCCTCTTAGCTAATGCACAGTGAGGTTTTGCTAATCACTGTTCTTAAGGGAAGGCAAGAAAATTTAATTAATATATAGACATTCGCAAGTAAGTAGCTAGTGTCTCTTTTTTAATTCACCTTCAAATCAAGAAGGGTTCTAATTAAGATAACAGATTCATCTTCCTAGTGCTCTTCCCTAGCAGAGTTTTCTAACTGTAAGTGCATAACAAAAAATATATTTATATGGGAGAGAGATCTAAGACGTTCTGAAAATGTGTAGCAAATAAGATTGGTTTCTGTACACAAAAGCAGAAAAGGCAAAGCTTGCCTCTCCCCACTACTTCAAATTACAAATAAATTACTTTTCAAAGTTTTTCTTCTTACTTGACTAATTCCCAGTCTGATACAGATACTACATAACCAAACACTAAAATCCTTTCAATGTGTTTAAAGACAAAAGCTATAATTATTATTCCTTGACTGGACAATTAAATGTGACACTTGCGTAAAGCGAGAATTTCAACATTTGAAGGTTGCAGTCTTAAAGAGAATATAAAATTTACTATCAATACAGTCCATCACAGACCAACATTGCTAGGTTTGTTAGGGGTTTTTCGGTTTGTTTGCTTTTTTGGGGTTGGTTGGTTTGGGGTTTGTTTGGTTTTGGTTTTCTTGGGGGGGGAGCAGGTAGAATCTGCTACCAGACTCCAGGTGCTGTCTTTTCTCTTTTCTATTTCAAGGTTATTGAAAGGAGAGGGAAATGGTAGGGAACAGTCCTTAATCTAACTGGAGCCAAACTGCAGAATCAGTCTGGAAAGTTTTGAATATGAGATTCTCCTTCGTGAATGTTTTTAAGATAAAATGAACCATCTAGGAACCAAGAACATTATTAAAAAGGACACAAAACACATTTTCATAGAAGATGAACCTAAAAGATTGTGAATGCAATAAAACTGAACTGATTTTCCTAATACAAATAAAAATTATTCAGTTTTCTTAATGTTCATTCTTTGTTTAGGTTTTCTTCTTAGATCAGATTTTTTTTTTTCTTAGATCAAACTATAATCACATACTGACCTGCTCAAATGTGATTCAGGTTCACTAGAGCATAGATCCACAAAACTATAAAGTCACATATTTTCCAGATAAAATAACTGTAGTTCACTTCTAGTTTTACCAAGTCTTCTTTGGTGCATGACAATATCTTAATGCTTATGACTAACATTGCTTTTTTCTGGCTGCAATGTCAGTTGCTCTCATACTGATAAGTGTTAAATATTAATTTAGGGATCTATCTTGCAATCTGTTCATAACTGAGTAGAAAGACCAACTTCCAAAGATATTTATGTGCCTAAGGAAGTCAACAGGGATGGCTGGGAGAACTCAGAACAATAGGCTTGTGTTGCAATCTGCCAGTGCTTGGGCACTCTGAAAATCCCACCACTTGCAGTTAAGTGCCTCAGAAAGCCTACCTCCTGTCATAAAAGCCCCTTCTGTGTGAGCTGGTGTGGATGGGTTCTACAGGTACTTATGGGTGTGGTGTACCAGAAAACAGCAGGCCAAAGAGGAGGAAAAGAACATGCTGAGAGGTACATGAAAAGCTCCCCAGAACTGCTAAGCTTTGGAGACTAGTGGATCCGTTGAATCCATGAGAACTGATAAAAACTAAAACATCAAGAATCAGTTGAATCTGCAGAAGGCCACCAGCACATACTAGCATCAATAAGAACGTATGTAACTTAGAACACATCAACAAAGGTAGTGCCTGCTATAATCAGACAAAGACTATAGGATCATATGCACACATGATGAACCAAAGGACCCTCTGGGTACTTCCTGAACAGCCACCCTGAAGTCACTGGCACACCAGTGATGCTTTCCACTTGTGAGTAAAAAAGTGTTGTTGGCCTCCCAGCTGTTGCTCCAACTATTATGAGCAAGAGCGAGTGTGAACTCTGTGAGGGAATAATAGCATATACTCTGTGAACAGTTATCTGCTATTAATAACAACAGTTTGGTTCTATTATTAATAAAAAAGCTGAATTAATAAAAGGTGTTCTAATTAATACTGGTTGTGTCTCCCCAACTCAATCCCCTATCAGGGAAAAGGGAATTTATAGCACTCCTTGTTCTGGTGCTCACTATGTGAACGGCTCTACTTCTCCCCAGGAGGAGCAAGCAGTGTTAGCATGCCCATGCAAGCTTCGATGGGAAGAAAACAAACATGTTTTGTTATTTTAAAATACTTACTTGGTAGGGGTATAGAGTGACACCATTTGTTCTTGACAAAGACCAGGTGCCATCAAGGTACTGATGAGCCTGGATAGCCACAGAGTTGAGAACGTTACCATTGCTCGGGCTGGTGGCCATTTGAAAGCTGACCTTGGCTTGGTGTCCAGGAGAGCCATTTTTCTTCTCCACCCCATTGACAATTCCTAGACTATTGGGTTTTCCACTGTGTTTGTTGGCAACAAAGCCTGTATAATTAGATGTAGCATAAGGAGCAGGCACGTATGCCCAGTCCCTGGGCGGCAGGCTGCCCATGTGCCGGGGACTCACTAATGTGGGGATATTGGAGAGAGGTGGGGGAGAGCCTGGCGAGGCATCATAATGTTCTGAGTTGGCAGCCTGCTCTAAGGTCAGCACCATCTGAATGGCCTCTTGCTTCAACTGGTTCAGGTGTGTGGCACAAACATCACATCTGTTGTCCTTCTCATTCCATGCCTTACGAATGGTATTGGGAACTTGGAGTTTGTCATGAATCACCGAAGAGAAACCTGGGTCCTAAAAATAAAACAGAGAAGGGAGGGGGGAACAGGAGAGAAATGTTTAACCATGGTCACCACAGTGAAACGTTATTACTGCTGATCGTGCATTTCAAAAGCCAATTTATGAGATAAGCTTAGAATGCAAACAAAGGCCATTAGATACAGTCAACATATGCCAGCAGCAGAGCTGAACAAAAATGAGAAACTAGATTGTCTTGGAAAGAAAAAATTCTTTTACTTTTACTGATAAATGGCAAATATTATAATTCCACTGCAAGCTTCAATGCATGGCAGAGAGAATGAATTAACCTGCTTCACACCACTGCACCTAATTTCTGGCTTGAATGAAATCTACTTTTAGTTACACAGGTGAGATCAAGAACAACTCCACTAAAACCAGTGGGCTTGTAGCAAGGTTCACAAATCCATCTACTCATCAATGCCAGCTTTTGGTACTCAGAAAATCCAGGATATACTCTGCAACAAAAATGTAAAGTTTCAAAGCCTGCCTATAAAGAAAAAATGAAAAAACAGAGGTACCATCACTCTCCCACAATCCTTTTCAGAATTCAAAAACAGATGGATATTTGATAAAGTTTTCAAGAGCTTCTCAGCATTTCATTTACCAAGATGACACTTTTCAGCCAGGAAAAAAATCCTTCTGTTAATGAAATGTTCTACCACTATTTTGGATATCTACTGATAATATAAAATAAAACAATAATTTTATTTAGAAAATAGAACATGTATAGGGTCAATAATTTGTAATGAATAATTTTCTTTGTGCAAAGCATATTTTTGGTGCAAAACCCCGTGATCAGGTTTAAAAAATCTCTTGCCTCATATCCTTACCTCATGGGTAGATCTTTGAATGTCAGTGGTGCTCTGCACAGAGCAATGTGCCACCCTGATCTGACTACAGTCACTGAATGCTGGCCTAAATTGCAAAGTGCTTCAGTAAGTTGTGAAGCCAAATAGCAGTCTTAGCAGGGGCTTATTACCAAACTTGCCCAGTTCTTAGACTATTGTGCAGTTTTAGAAACGCATAGCAATGATGTGTGTATTATGCAGAGCAAACAATGACAGTTATGTGATGGAAATATTTCCTGGAAATTTCACACCACATTTTTATGGTTTTACAGACCAGGCAGGGCAGACTTCACCTTCCCCTCCTTAAGTTTTGGAGACTTATTGGTGGATTTTCTTATGACTACTCAAAAAGATTTACAATCAGTAGTATCAAAATCTTTTTTTTTTTTTTTTCCTCTTCATCTTTGTGGTTTTATCAGCTTTAGCAGCAAACTGAAATCAGACTGGAAGAGTGTGTGGCGGGGGTGGAAATCACACAGACACCACCCTTATCAAGTAATTTGATGAACCCCATGCCATCCAAGATAGACAAGTTTCATATCTTGATAGTTTGGCTGTGCTGGGAAAGAATGGGTAAGGGGTATAATATAGGGAGGGAGAGAATTCATTGGTAGAGGGTCATATTCATTATGATCCGTCTTTATTATATACTCGAGCATTTTATTTTCACTGTTTAACTACCGTGAACAGCTCCTCAGCATGCAGTGATTAATTGATTCATAAATCACGGTGCCTCTTTATGCACAGCAGCAAAAGAGCAGTTCTAGCCCCAGAAGCCCAAGAGAGTCATATAAGCTGATGGGAAACAACAGGAGGCTGAGATCTGATCAAGCCTCAAGCTGGTCATTTCTATTCTATGCACAAAGGGAGTCAGAGCATCAAAGTGTGTCAGGAAGGCAGGAACTGGATTCTGCACCAACCCTCCCCCCTTAACCTTCAGGAAAGGGACTGGTGGAAATCAGGGGGAAAAACAGGATGCAGAAGATGTCAAATCTTATTTTCCATCCCACACCATAACTAGGTCAACAGATCACATCAGATATAGGCACCCCATCCATGATGCCAGGTATGCAGGGAAAGGACTCTCTACTTTTACTCTAATGAGCTAGACAAAGCTACCTATATAGCTGAAGTGAGGTGTGAGTCTTCTTTCCAGGCTGCTCCACATCAGTCCAGGAAAAATCCTTGCCAGCTCTTCCTTCAGCTAGCTAATGCCACAGAGCTAGCTGTTGTTCTTTGGAAGTTAACTTCCCTTAGGCAACTGGGCTTGAACCCAGGTAATTATATACAACATTCAGATCCAGCAGCAGTTCAACATGGAAATTCCTGGATACTATGATAAATTTTCCAAGGAAATAAAGCCTTCTCTAAAGTAAGCAAATGTCAGCATGATATAAATATTCAAGTAGCACACCAACTTTAAAGACTGCTGGACTGCAGTGAATTCAGCTTCATCTCAGTGTTAAAACAAACATCAGATCATTCTCTGATACAACAATAAACAGAGAGAGAAAGGGAAGGAGGGAAGGAAGACTGTTCCTCCTCGGGAGCAGAAAGGAGGAAAACAGGCACAACCTGAATTGATTACTCCCAAGATTGGCCCTACTAATCTATCGGACTCTGCTAGATGGATAGCTCAACACTTGGATCCAGGTCTGGAATATGAAACAGAAAAGCCTATAAGACAGCAAATAAATTTGGAGAAACTCAGGTTCCAGAAACACAACAGTCACATTTTGTTCTGAAAACAAAACTGATAGAGCCTAAAAGAGAGTTTACTTTCTTATTCTGCACTGGGCAGCTCCACTATAATTTCACAGAAGAATCGGCTAACAGGTTTGCAACACATTTAGCAGAAAGGAGGCCAACGCTGGACAGTCACTACACCCTGAACAGCAAGGAAATGCAGCTACACAGCACTTTGTTTCAGTATTTCATCTGCAAGCAATCATCTGCACACACTCCCCTAGGAATGCTTATTAGTTCAATAAACAGTATCTTGTCCCATGTGAAATAGCGATGGGCAAACCTCACTGGATAAGCGCTTTGAGTTAGCTGCACTAAGCAGCAGGAGCTGGAAAGGTTATACTCACTACTGAAACTTGTGAGGTCTAAGAAACTCCACACTCCCTGGCAGGAGAGCAGATTTGCTTGTGAAATCTGAGGTTGACACTGGAAATACCATTTATATTTTGGCACTCATTTCCAGTCCTGACAGAACAAAGTACAAAGACACTGAAAACTGAAACAGAACTTTAAAAATCACAAAAGAATTTGGTCTGAGTTCAGGGCAAAGGTTCATGATGGTTTCTCTTATTGCTGTAATGGTTCACCCATCTTTAGTATAAACAGCATTACTATAAACTCCTATTCCTATAATAAACAAATGAAGGCGTATAAGAGGTCTGAAAGCTTCAGGAGATCAGTCACAACACAGACCATAGCATAAATGCACGAGGCAAGCAGTGAATTAAACAGAGTGCACATTGAGCTTTGTTGCAAGGGGCCTTTTCACATTACCTTTGAGTTTTCAAGCTCAGGTAAACACCAATTCCAGCTATGTTTGGTTGTTCATCTTCTCCACTGTAACCAGCTAGTAATTAATCCCTCATCTTTCGTCCTGACCTAAAAACCCACATGGGAAAGACAGAAGAGGGAAGGAAGTTTTGCTTTTTAGAGACCCATCGTAGACAGGTATATAAGGAATTCTTGCTTTACGCAGTGAAAATGTACCCAGCAAACAGGCACTAGTTAAGAAACACTGAAGTACACATACAGCTGTACCAGGGTAAATGTAATCCTGACCTCATGGAGGAGGGGGAACGGCACTACTGTATGATCATGTAAGGTAATGCAGAAGCATCCTCCTCTCTTCCATCTCCCTTCGTAAATCTTGCTGTGTAGTTTGCATGACATTCTAACTCCAACACTAAGAAAGCAGACTACAGACAGAATAATCCTTTCCTTCCTGCTACCCAGCTTGGTGCCCATCTTCCTCAACAGAGAAAGCAAACAACCACTTTCAGCATGAAGCACAGCCTGTTTCACACATTTGCACAAAGCTCACAATGAGACATGATGCAAGCAGGCAGAGCTCAACTGGTGCACAGAGAGGCGGGCAAGAAATAGGATGAGCAATTTGCACTTTTACATGTTACATGGAACCTAGCTGATCATAGATTCATATACAAATACGCCATACGCATGCTACTGTGTTGCAAACGTATAGCAGGCAGACACTAGTATAGGACATACGCTCTAAGATTTTGTGCACAACTGTATTTGATTTGGTCAACTATAGCCTACGCAAGTTAGACATTGTAACCCTATGTCATTACTCTACCTCAGAGAAAACTCAACTATACAATGGATCTCAAGACCTTCTTATCAAATTGTGTTCTTCAACACCAGTATTACTCATTGCTCTTCAGGGAAAAACAAAGCAGTCAATACTAACTAAGTCACAGAGGTCAGCTTCCAGTTGAAGATGCTCACAGAAGACTCATGGAGTTCTTTTGCTTCTGAAAGGGTCCAGGCAGCAATGACTGCTGGTATGTAATCCATCACACAAGGTGAGGGGAGAAGTAGGGGAAAGCAACGATCAAAGCTCTGCCCAGGAAGAAGTGTGTTTTCCAGACTCTCACTCTCCACAGGTGGGGAGTAAAAGAACTAATTAAGAAACATTACTAGGAGGGAAGCCTTAACCCTGATAAAAAACACATGTTTTTCCATGACTGTGCAAACACCTCTGCTCTAAACACAATCCTGTTAGTCCATGGTTGGTCTCTACTGATGGGGGGGGAATCTCCTCTGTTCTCCTTTCTTTCTTGAGGGTGTACTTTCCAGCCCAATAAAGAGATTATACTTGTAAACTTACTTTCCAGAGGCACTTGGGATATTTTCCAAGTGACTCTACAACCTAACTTAAACATATCCTATCATCTTCTAGGCTACATTTCAGAGATTTGCTGTTTCCAGCATTCCAGAGCCCCAACAGTTGAAAAACAGCTCCTCACTGTTACAATGGCACCACTTCTGTTAAAGCAAAAGTATGTTCAAATAAACTGAAGTCAATGGGAGATTTTCGTCAAATAAGCATGATGGGATACACACTATGACTATAAACTAGCAGCACTGTACCATCAAAGTGAGCTGGGAACCCTTGGATAAAAATCCATTAGCTTTGCTAAGTAAAGACTGAATCGTCTGATTATGTACGGTGGCAGGATCTCCGCTAGCACAAGCAGTGTTTTGGTAAGTAAAAGCCAAAATTGCACATGAGCAAGACCAAAGGGGCAGTGAGGTGGCCTCCCTTTTTCTATTGCTCTATACATAGCAACTGACACCTTCTCTGGGCAAGCGCACACTGCCTTATCCTCTCTGCCACAGAAGACTTCCCTCACACCCAAAATGTCTTCTTCACATAAGCCATCCATCACCACCCTCAGCCGAGCAAATGAAACTATCTCATCTCATCTCCTTTGCTAGAAAAGGAGAACGTATTTCCCTCTTGTCCTTCTGAAACGCTCTCCTTTCCCCAGCAGGAATTTTTAGGAATGTCCCCACATAAGCACTGTTACTACATGTTGGGGAGAGGAGAGAGGAGGCAATCCTGAACTGGAGAGCTGTAAGTAGGGAACTTGGGCAAAAGGAGGGACCGAGGTCATGACGAAAGCATAGTGGAATAAGAAAGAGGCTTTTTACATGAGCCTGTTTCCAGCAAGCCCTTGCAAAGAGACTGCCTTACCAACTGCAGTAAAAACCTCTGCAGTGTTATCGTAACCCACCTCTTTAACTATTACCATTTTTGTCCCTCAAACTTGAAGAACTGCTTTCTGCTGCTGACTTGAGCCTTCAATTTTCAAAAAGGCCATGAGAGTGCTCCCTGTCCTACAGTCAGTATCTCCAGAACATGTCTGGGGGACCAGTTCTGTGAGGCCCTCACAACATTACTGTTTACAAGGTGTTTTTCTTGAGCTGGCACGTA